TGAACAGTTGCATTGAAGAGAGCATTTTGAAAAACAATGTATAGCCATTTACGTGCTGCTATGCTATTTTTCATGTTCTCCATTTTATAAAGGCTACATTCACAACACTGCGCTAAAAGACTGAGGTGAAACCTGACAATGTTCCATGTTAAAGCAATGGAAGTAAAGGAACAGCCTTGTTCTAGTGTAACGGCATATAATGCAAAAATGTATAAATCAGACTGTTAAAATAGGCTGATCTTCAAAAGGTAGATCCTTGATTTGCAAAAAGATCCGCCAAGCAGCATCGCACATGTATGGTTACAATGAAGGGAGGTTGGCGGCCTTTTGGTTTCTGCAGGTAGAGGCTTGTCGTACAGTAACGGGGGGTCGGGGTGTCCTACTGGTCTCAGGGAGCGAGACATCATCAGCTCTGATAAGACACCAGGGTGGGATTTCTTATAAACACTTCACAGGATGTCGGCGGTTAAACCTGGTTTTAAAAGACAATGGAGAGGTAAAAAAAGAATGGTGATGGTTTTCCTTTAGCAAACGTGAGTACCTTGGGAAAAAAAAAAAGAAGCATAACACACAGAAATATTTTGCAGGGAAAAGGGCAGCAACCCCCATCGGAGTAGTTGTTAACGTTAGGAGGAACCATACAAGACAATGCAGCAGCTCTTTTGAGGATAAAGCGTATTGCTCAAGTGACTTCACGTCAATGCTGCTGGCAAAGACAATGGCCGATTGAATAGAGGCCTGACAAACTATAGAGCACCTTCAAAGAGGAACTGCAACACAGTTAACTTAGCATTTCTATGAAGCTTCAGTAAGTGGTAGCCTGGGTGAGACGGAATGTCAAAAGACTTAAGAAGTGTCGGGATCTCCAATCCCACAGAAGGCAGTTTAAGACATGAGTCTTTTGTTGTAAAGGTAAAGGTGAAGGTGAAGTGAGGGACAAATAAATAATTCCATTGGGATTTGCTACATGACAACTATTTTCTGCCCATTGGCTGCTTTTTATTGCTCGTGTCAGACATCCTGTGACCTCAAGGTGAACTCTGTTGGGTTTATTGCTCCTGGGGCTCCAGAATGCAGGACCAAAGGGTGATGTATGCGTTCAGCATATTTTACTTTAGTTTTTTTCAGAGGTATGCATTTAATCATTTTAACATACTTTTTCAACTTTGGAACATGATCAGTTATATCATGTAGTCTTAAGGATCCCTGGCAGGAAATCACTGAAGTACTTTCTGCACTGATTACAGGGTTCACTAAGGAGCAAAATCCCAAAAATTGATAGTTAGTATCTTGATCTTCAGGAAGTATGAACACTAGTTCCAGCTTGTCTGGTGCAAGTGAAAGACAATATTTACCATTTATTCTAGCAAATCCCTATCCCGATTAAACACAAAATATTGTATTTGTGTATATTACATTATACAAAATGTATAACTAAAAGGCTAATGACATGAACACTTCGGTCATCCGGGAAGCAGCAGTTTCAGTTGGATGGCATTCGAGAGGATGAGGGCAAAAAAAACATGTATTGCACCCTTTGTTCCAAGTCTGACAGCGAGGTGGATTAACTTTAGTTGATGTTATCTAATAAAAACTAACTACATGTATAGGACAGCGTCAGTGAAAATCTACTCTGGGCAAGTAGATTTCTGACCCACTAGCTTGAAAAAAAGAGGCAGAAACCCTGCGAAACATTTCACCGAAAGACGTCCACACAAAAACGCTCCGGAGAGAAGATGTAAACGTGTGAAGAGGTGTGAATGGAAACTCTAGGACTCCAGTTATAACAAGCGTATGTGTGCTCATGTCGGCACACGCACAGCGTTGCTGCGGTACCGGCTGAGGTGCAGCTGTGTTTGGAATCGGCTCTTCTGTCCGACACGGACGCGACTCTGAGCATGAAAGGGCAACGCCGCTGCAGCCGCACAGCGCTGCGTATTGTGAGGAGACTTTGTGAGTGTGTGTGTGTGTGTGTGTGTGTGTGTGTGTGAGGGCGTGACCATGCCAGGTCGGGCTAAATATATATGTATATAATTTGAATCACAACGTGTATCACATAAATCTCTGAGGTTGGACAAGAATATGTTTCTAATCAATGCCTGCTTGGATAAATGTAGACAAATATGATGTAGGAAATATATTTCTGTGTATTCATTCGCTGCACTGAAATCACTGTTTTGACCCACAAAGGGCATAAAAGAACAATAAAAGTTGTCCTTCAGCAAATAGTGAAATAGAAAGACCCACATTCAACAAAGAAGTCTGTAAACGTTGTCCTCAACCCAACGTACATCAATGGCAGCTTAGGGTCATTTAAGCTAGTAAAGACCTCTCAGTAGCTCAAAGTATTAGACAGGGCTCCTTAGAAAATGATGATGTAATAACACAAACTGCCATTGGATACCAACTGTAAGTGGAAAGGTTTGAGGCCACATTACGGATCCTTAAAGGAACATACCATTTTTTAATTATAAATCATGTACACATCACACGTAACCGCATGTCCTTTCCCAAAGTATCCACGCGAATGGTGAGCAACAAGACACGTGTAACTCTACCCACGTATTAAAAGTAAAAAGTGTAGGATGCCGCGCAGCTGAAGCTGAAGTCAATCCCAGCTGTGAAAGATTTAATGAGGAACCTCCGCTGGACTGAGAAAGAGAGTCAGGTTCACAGTCCTCACCTCTCCGACCTCTATCCCGAGTCACACCTCGCCGCAGAATCAACAAATGACGGCCTGTCGGCAGGCACTCCATATGTGCCAACGTGCTCTAGGAGGGGGCGAGCCACTTCAGGGCAGCGCCGTCCCATCAGCCAGGATGGCCTCTCCCCAGGGGCTATAATTCAACAATGCAATGTTTACTGAACCCAGTCCTTAAGCCATTACGTGAATGGGTGTTTGCACCGCCTCGCTTTGCAGCTCCATAAGAGTGCCCACCGGCTCTGCATGGGAATTAAACAGCAGGGGCCAAGGGAGAGGAACCAGAAGGCGCCGCACAGGAGGCCGACCAGTGGCCTGGACGATACGTTTCCCCCGCACAGACTAAATGAGTCATTGGTTCAGAAAGTCCCTGCATCGGATTTGGCAGCGAATGGAAAAGGTTTGAGTTACACACAGGAGAGGAAGATGCCAATTTACGCCAACGACATACTCCCTGCAGACTTTATAGTCACAGGAATCCAGGCCGCCCCCCTCAACCGCACTGCAGCCCCCGATGAAGTCAAGGGACACTTGTGACAGTCTATACTGGGAGAAATCTCTGAGCCAGAAGTGTCAGCCGCGAGGCAAAGAACAGTTGGGCTGATGTCATACATTAGAAAAGTGTCCTTGCACCTTATTTTTTATAGGATTAAGTAAGACCAGAGGCAACGATCACCGGGCCTCAACAATCCACGGCCATTTATAAAAACTCCACAGGAGACCAGGAGAAAACAGATCTAGGAAAAGCCCTTTATACTTGTTTTTTCTGATGGAATATCAAGCCTTAAATTCTCTCCTCAGATAGTTGCTCACACACCAACAACTGCTGGTGGCTCACAGCGAGACGCAGGCACTCATTTGCGAACTGGTCCCCATGCAGAGTCTTTATTGACTCGGATTGTTTGACTTGATGCGCATGACCCCTGACGTCCCAGTGTGAGGGAGAGGAGGGCCCGTTGCAGCGCCGGCGTGTGCGCCTAATTGAATCAAGAGGTAGGTTGTCTGCTGCAGTTCAAAGGCGTAATGCAAGAAACAGACGCTTGGGGATAATTCAATTACGATGGTATTGTTGGCCTGGTAGTCAATCAAGGCTGTGGTAAAAGGGTAAACGCCATCTCCTATTGCCTTCCAGTGTCGGGACGCGACACACGATGACGGCCCCCCCGGGGGACTGGATAGCCTGTGAGGATTGATGGTGGTAAAAGATACACAGCGCTTGTCGCCCGTGACGATAGAAGGCGCGTACCTTCTATCACTTGTCAGCTCACAGAGCGATAGATCATGTCCACTCGCTCGATAGCATCTCACACAGCTGGATGTTGAATGTACCTCGAAAGTCATCGACACCTGCGGCCATTGCGTTATTACCGCTCATGTCCCATCGTTCAAAGAGGCTTTCCTTCGCATCAAGTCAACAGGGAGAAGTCGTAGATATCTCAACCATGACAGCGCTGTTTATTGGAGGGCATAAATGTGAGGGACCAGCCGAATTTCCATTGGGTGGGTGTGGGGGGGTATTTTCAATAGTCCTCCTCTATATGATTCATAAAACAGATCCTCTTATTTATATAAAAGGTATAAACTTAAGAAGAAGAAACTTAAAACAAAGTATTATACCCAAAAGAACAATCACAATAGAAGTAGTTAGACCGGCAGTACGGGCTCCCGCATGATAGTGATAGCTGGATAATTAAAATCACAGGTAAATTGCTAATTCCCAATATGGTGCATTCTCCCGGCTGCAGGAGGAGAATGAGAAATCGATTAATTTCCCCGGTGTTCACATCCCCAAGTCCATTCATTCTTATGAACCCCAGATTTCCAGCACTGATTCATTAATAATAAGGCAAAGAAAATAAGTTGGTGGTGCAGTGAAAGCAGAACAAAGTGTATCCTGACTAGAAGGTTTGAGAGGAGGGGGGACTATGAATAGCTGGTTTCTATGGACAAACTTAGCCCAGCTTCACTCAACAGCAGGTTCTAGTTTATCACATTACTTGAAGAAGCTTCTTTACTGTGCACACTGGTATGACTCTGTGGGGAGGACAGGGATCTGTTGTGCGTACGAGCAGCCCTCCACCAGCAGACCGCTCTATTTACTGAACAGGAATAGTAACATGGCTGATACGCTTTTCTTTTTTTAACAGTACAGAAAGAAAAAAAACCGTGTGTAACTTCGACTTGACCTCCGGAGCGATTCAATGGTTCCTGAAGTCCACTTCGTGGATGAATGAAACAGGAAATCCACACGGATTAAAAAGTGTGGGGGGAAGTGCAGAGAAAGAGTGCGCTCACTTACAGTAACCAGCTGGCATGTGAGGATCAGAGACACGATAAGTCCGCGGGTCCAAGTGGTCGGAGTGCCCATTTTCCACCAACCCAGCGCAGGCTGCATGTGCGGGGCGGGTGGGATGGGATGGGCGGCGGAGAGGGGGGGGGAGGAAGGGAAAGGAGCCGCAGTGCCTCACTCCTCCGGGCCGCTGGAGCGGAGGGTTGCCTGCACCTTCCTCACCTCACACTCCTCTTCTCCGAGAAGAAATTCGAGTGCTCCTGTGCGCCCGGCGGGACTTCATCAACAGGTACGCGCGATCCTTTAACGCGCCGGTTTACGCGAGGCTTCTCTTTGGAGAGGACGGCTCGGTGCGTAAAAATGTCCACGCGGAGACGCTCCAAAGAATTGCACTGCGAAACTTTGACTTGTGATGTGGCTAAATGCGGTCTTGCAAAGTCCTGTGCTGCGAGAGAAAGAGAGGGAGAGAGAGAGAGAGGGAGAGAGAGGGGAGAGAGAGCTGCCGAAAAAAAGTAAGAGGCGGAATGGAATTCGGGGAGTGCTGAAAGAGAAGACGGCTAATCCCAGTGCGGGGAGAAGGACACCCCCCCCCCCTCGTAGAGCCGTGGTGGCTCCCGACACGAACCGCACACCCCTCGTGTGGGCCGGACCCTGCAGAGGATTCGCGTCCACGTGCGGATTCAGATGCATGCGCGTGCACTAAATGCTGTGTGTAAGTGAAAGTAATTGTTGTACTAGTGGAATCAGAGTAAACACCCGCGACGGCGCCGAAATGGATTTGTGGTCGTTATCTCTCCTTATAAATAGTAGATTATTATTAATTTTTTATAAAGTAACATGACATGCATTTCAATAGCTGAATGTATAAAAGTGCATTAAATGCTCTTTGTATTTTTTTAATCTAAATCTGCAAAGTAACGAGTAGTAACTATGTGGACCGAATACACACATGGGGTGGAAGATTTATTCAGAACCGTAAAAGGAGCAATATAATAAAACTCAGTATTCATTATCAGCTATTCAAAATATAACTATCGTTTGAAAAATAAACAATATTACTTTTATTTAAAGAATAGACTAATCCTTAAAGATGTTTGTTTTTGTTTGATTGTAATAAACCTCTAGAAACTAGTCACCTCAACGTTTTCCTTAATAATGAAATGGTAAATAAATGTGAGCTAATGGTCATTGAAAGACTAAAATGTCCTATTTCTGTGGGACATAAACTGCTGTTGCAGACTTTATTAAAAGAGCTCACAGTAAAGTTGAGCATTAATGCCCTCCTGTGGTGTTAGAAGGGAATTACACCAAACACTTACTCTACGCAGTGGAGACAAAGGGCCAGCTCAAACAAAGTAAAAATAGATTGTAATTTAGCTGTCCTTTGTTGCTGTCAACATCAGAGACACGTCCTGAATATACGCGACGCACAGAAATACGTGGTAAAGAACTGGACGGGACTCAAGTCGGGAGCTTTGTTTGACTGTATGTTTGTGTCCATTAGTGTCTCCGGTGTGAAGAGCCCACTGGAACACTCAGAGGCAGCTGTTACCAGTTAAAAGATGAACCCTGAACGGAGCTCATACGCGCACCAAAATAGGCTAAAAGGGAGATGAACGGAACGGGCCTTCAAGTTGTTAATAATGTACCTCTTGTGAGATTCTATTCTTACAATCCAACGAGACTTGTTTTAAAATATATAAATGTACTATACTTTGAATGACAACTTGTGATGTTTTTTTCCCCCCCAAAAAAAGTTTAAAATCCTTGCATCAGAATCTATAAAAATGCAATTATGTTTTGCTTCAATGTTAAAGTTTCTGCTTCACAGAAAGGTCCGTTCTCTGTGTGCGTGCAATGTGGCAGCAAACATTCAACAAGCCAAGAAGAGAAAGGCCAGAAACCACACGGCCAAAAGGCTGAACTAGAGGCTTTAAAACCCTAGTGCACCACATCACTTGGTTCCGACGCATTTCTACCAAGATCGCCATCCGAACTAGTGATGTCACGCAAGTCTTCAAACTCAAATTCTAAGGCGAGTACAGAGAAACGTCGACGATTCGGGAGACGATTGTAAAAACAGCCTAACAGACGTGCCTCTGTACAGTGAGGCTCAAAGTAACAGTAAGCAGGACATACTTTTGATTGGATGGAAACATTTAAATTCAGCCTCCCCCTCTGTGGCATAGCTGTTTATTTCAAAGTAAACAAAATAAAAAACTAAAATTCCAGCTGGAGGAAAACATGAGGGATTTATGTGGAAGGAATTGAATGCTAAACTTTTCAGCCTCATTGTTGATACAACATTTAAAACAAGATTTAGAAACAACACTCTGCTGAATCACGAAGTAAACCGGAGGCCTCAGAGGACACATTTGTCCCTCTAGACTTCTTGAATACACAGATCACTTCTGGCCTTCGACGGCGAATAAATACTGAAAGCATCTCACTGACCACGGCGGGTTGATTTAAGGACTCCTCCCTCGCCTCCCGTCAGCAGAAAAGCCCTGGAAAGAAATTGTCAGTCCCAACCCATTATTATAGATCCTGAAACCAATGTAGCATTCAACAAAACGTCAAGTATACTTCAGCTTCTTTCACTCCGGGCCCAGTGCTCCGAGACTCGCTATGTAGGACGTTAAGGATCTGGGATGAGGAGGGGGGGTGTTAAGGATCTCAGTGATCTATAGAGGCAAACGATCAAATACAAATATTAAAAGGCGGCCGCATCAAACGACCTCACGTCACTACCGACAGACAACTTCATCCGTCGTTAAAATCCCTCCACGTCGCTGAGCTCAGGAGTCCCGATTCACTGCCAGTTCCCGTGCTGGCTGTGCGTCAGCCATGAGGTGTGACGGTGACGACGGCGGGGCACTCCGACACCGACCAGCTCGGTGTCATTCATTACATCAGAGCTTCCGCCGGCGCACTTGCGAGCCGTCAGCTGGAGCTGCAGCTGCACGGAGCAGCTGTGAGGAGGAACGGCACATCAGCCAAGGAACAGAAGAGGCTTCCGCTCTCGGGCGCTCCACGCCCTTGGACTCGAATTTAGAAATATTGGAAGACACTCATAAACTCCCTTTCCAGTCTTCTTTTTGAGGACATAATGAAGACTTTTTTTTATCATCTACTCTTGAAGATGGACGGTGACCATCAAAATAAAAAACTAACGTGAACCAAATGGCCCTTAAAAGTCTAAATCGCACATTGCGGGTTTATTGCTCAGCACCACACAGGATTGCTGTGAGACGTATCCCAAAGAGGTCATGACCTTTGACGTTGGAATCAACTCCTCCCCTAAAAGTGGCGCTGAGTGACATCGCGCCGTCTCTGCTCTTGTGGTGTGGATTTAAACATTGGCAGAGGAGCTCGAAGGCGTCTTGTACAGCCTACGCGGAGTGCGTGTAGAAAAACTGAACCCCAGCTGATAATGAGAGACTCACCATCACCAGCACTCAAATCATCGGCAGGTCTTCAAACATACAGAGCGATCGGGCCCCTAATGGGTGCTGCCGCGCCAACACGTAGCTTGATTTTGTCACGTGGTCAAAGAGGCGTTTAGAAGACCGGCTTCCTGGCGAGATCTATCTATAGCTGTGACTCGCATCAGAAAGACTTTAACCAAAATAAACACAGCCGAGTGGAGTTATCTTATGAACTGCTGCTCGTGCACGGTGCCGGGATAAGCGACCGCAGTGCATTTGGTCTTACACCTCGTCTGGATCTCAAATCAGTCCAAGTCAAAGTCACAGAATGAAGAAAGCAGAGCAAATCCTCTGAGATGTGTCATTGGGGAAAAAACAAGCCTGTGTTGTACTTCTCACACATGACCACACAACAACAAAGTTCCGCTCCACTCAAAGTATTACTTAATACATTAAAGTCAATTGATTTCTTTATGGAATCATTCTGTTGTTAAAGTACAGACGCTGCTAAAAGAGAAGCGCCGTGCCGACGCCAGCTATGGACTTTTGGACTATTTGCTGAAACTAAATACAGTAAAGTTCAGCATGAAGGGCTCTCTTCTGGAGTTTAAAGGGCCATTACAGTAAAGAATAAAATCACTCATCTATACCGTGGATACAACTGACCAATGAGGTAAAAACAGAAACACAATTACTTGTTTTGTGTAGCTGAAATCGTTAGTTTGACCAAATCACGCCTCACCTCAAAAACGTTGGTCTGTTTTTACCCCGAAAACACAATTACCACAACAAATGTTCCCTGTGAGATAGCAATATGCTGACCTTTAGCCCCCAGTGTGGGCCGAGATGGAAAACACTAATCCTACATTTTCCTTAAGGGAATTAATGTTGTACCTAGTTCCACCTTCCCTGCCTCATAAATACTAATGTCTTACTACCCGTCCCCAGTAATGTAATGTCAATTGCAATGCGGGCTTTCTGTTATACATTAGAGCTCAAGCAAAGATGATGACGCTCCAGGTGATGCAACAGCTATTACTGCAAATGGCTCTTTATTGCAGTCATTATGGTTTTATTTAATGGACCTTATAGCGTTTTAGATGTGGTTTCAGATGCTGAAGCAGAGGAAATTGTTCTTACTTTGTTTCAAATTGGTCTTGACTTCCACAATAAAGTTGAGGGCCTGATTACTCCGGCTTGATGATGAGAACGCTGCTCCGCAAAGGCTACTATACACTTTAAAGTTTGGGTATACAATTATACAGACAGGGAAATACATAATTTAGATTAAGCAAAGCAGAATTAAAAAGTAATATTATGCAGGAATACAGATTTGGCAAATTGCTTCTGCAACAGCTCTGGTCTCCCTGTTGGCTGTAAGTTTACTATAGTTTAACTATATGGCTGTTTGCCAAAACCAACTTTAAAGACAGCATTAATATTCACTGATGGAGACACGGCGACACTCCGTGTAAACACAGCCAACATGTGCACGACACACGTGTGGTATTATCGACCCACATACAGAACATGAGCTTCAGCTCTTATAATGTCACACAGTTGATGTCCTAAAATGTCTGTTTCTGAAAAATAAAACAACAATTGTGCTTCTAGAAATATTAGAAATCAGGCTCATGGGGCACGCCTGGTTGAGACACTTCCTCATTTACATCGCCGCCTTCTTTGATCGGTCCACCAGTTAGAGCATGCGGACAAAAATCCATCGGGGTACGTCTGATTCCGCTCGCTCCCCTAGCAGACAACATTCGTTCGAGACACAAAGAAATGCAGGGCAATGAAGCGGGCAGTCATTTCATTAAACTGTAGAAGATGTCCATTCATATTGATATTTCTTGATCTTCTTCAATAAAAGGTCAAATGTTTTAATTGCAACCATAGCGGGCAGGCTGGAGGACACCCAGCCAGCGATCAACATCATGCCTGCTTCTCATTTTGACTATAAATCCATCTTAAACTTTACTTTCCACAGCAAGAACCAGAGGGACTTTGCTGACAGCAAGTACACGTTGTACTTTAGCCGGTATATCAAAAATGTCACTGCCTGACAGCTACAATAGACCACAGCTGATAAAGATCAATGACTTTCACTTCAACTGCATTCATTCACGTTGGGCCCATCTGCAAAGAGGTGGTGCAGAAGATGGAGACACTGTAAATCCTCCAGAATTATTCATACTTGCCCTTTATGTCGGTTGAAAAGGTAATTTGTGTGTGTGTGTATATGTTTAATAATATCCTCTCTTCGAAATGAGAGCTGGGTTGCCAGTGGCCCACATCTATAGTTTAAGTTAGCAACGGTAAAATTATGTTTTTCCACAAAGCTGCTGTAAAAGAGGCAGTTTGTAGAAGACACTTTCCCTCTTGTTGGGGCTAAATATTTGTTTGTCCCGTTAGATGTTCGTATATAACCAAAACAAGCATTTCAAGGTCTGAATGTTTACACAGTGCTATTATATGATATGAAAATTTGTGTGCACTTAATTTAGTTATTTAATTAATCTGTGATAAATTTACTAATCAAAATATTTAATTTTTGGGAGGACGCACAGCATTTCAAAAAGGAGGTTGGCACCAGTCAGTGCGGTGTTCCCTGTTGAGAAAAGAAGTTCTGTATAAATAATAGTCACATTGATACAATACAGCAATGTGAAGAGGAAAAAAAAAGTACCTGTGGTGTCGTAGGGCGGAGAAACCTCCACAAGATCACATCCAACAAGGTTTAAACCACGGCAGCCCCGAATAATCTCAACTCCCTGAATCCAACCAAAATAACAACACATCTCAGTATTTATACAGATATATCCTGTGTGTTAAAAACAGAACGGCCTACGTGTAAATGGAAGTTACATTACTTGTTGTGAACCACCGCAGTAAATAGTAATACGACAAGGTTGCATCACCAGTTCATGAAAGCTAGTTCAGAGGGATTAAAGTCGGGTTCACCATGGTTACCTGAATGGGAGTAAGCCCTGCTATCTCTGGCGTGCCTGTTCCGGGGGCGAAGCCCGGGTCAAGAGCATCGATGTCGAAACTGAGGTAAACTGGGCCGCTGCCCATCTGAGCCCTCACCTCGGCCATCAGAGGGGAAAGGGATTTGAACCAGCACTCTTCCACTTGGACCACACGGAAACCCTGCACACAGTACGAACCAGGGTCTTTAGTTCAGCGGCCATGGCTCGTTTTCACAGAGTCCAACTCTCCAGACGGCACCTGCGTAGGACGACAGCAAGATGCTTCATGCTGTATGTAGCATTTCAGTGATGACACATAATGGCATTGATGGACAGCTCACCGTTACATTGTCGATGCAGTAAAACCAGAACGCTGCCACTAGATCAATGCCATTAGTTTTCAGGTACCTGTGCCCGGCTCCATTCATACGAATCTGCAGAGTAGCCTGTACCGCGCAGGCCGATCTGGACCACTCGCTTGCAGTCCAGAAGCCCTTCCTCCACACAACGTCTGAACGGAGTCCCGTGTCCAATCTTCTCCCCCAAGACCACGTCACTGGTGTCCGCGTGAGCATCCACGTGGACCAGACCCACTGGGCCATGCCTGACAAAGGATGGGAAGGGAAACTATGTTTTTAATGGCCATGATCTTAACCTTTTCATTTACAGGAAAAGAAACATGAAACACATTTTGCTTTTAGGGTAATTGAACATTTAATTAACAAGTTCATATTGCACGTGTCTAAAAATCCAATGTACGTATTTAGAAAAATGCAATTAAAATTTAAAGGAAAACCTTATGTTCAAAGTTGTCCAGACAAAGTAACCGTAGTGGGATTAAATAAACCATGAAGAGCCCCTGAGCAGGAAGCAGAGCCTACTTACCGCTCAGCAACAGCTTGTAGGATCGGATATGCAATCGTGTGATCGCCACCTGCGGACACCAATAACAAAAAAAGACTACAGTTTACGCTCTTAACACGTTCTTCTCGTTCCTCAGGGTTCTCTACTTGTTCTAGCCGCTCTCACCCATAGTCAGAGGAATACAGCCAGTAGCCAGGATCGTCCTGTAGGCGTCTCTGATGCGTTTGCAGGTGTCCTTCAGGTCATACACATTCACATTGACGTCCCCAATGTCAGCCACCATGAGGGACTCGTAAGGTGCTGCCCTGGTGCCACTGTTGTAAGATCTCAACAAAGCAGATTCCACTCGGATCTGCCGAGGACCGAACCTGCAATGGTGGAAGTGAAGATTTTTGAGAAAGAGGGTGCAGTTTTTATCTGGAAGAGGTAAAAACATCTTTAGAGATTGAGGTTTACTCACTACGACTCGGCCTAGAACGTCAAGTAAAGAATTATTCATGTTTGCTTGTTATAAAATCATGGTTTCCTCCAGATTGTAGCTGAAACAAAGCACCTCGCTTGGGTCATAAAACATTAACAGTAAAACGGGCCCCCGGGGCCTCATCTAGAGTCTTATCTGCTCTGTGTATCAGACGTGAGCGAACTTTGTGCTGAGAGAGCAGCTCCTGAAAGACGTTTATTAGTTCACATGTGTCAGACATTTCAGCTTGAGACAGACCCTGTTCATTAAAACTCCCTGAAGGGGAGCGGTTAGACAGTTCGTCATTAACAAGGCACAGTTGCTCAAATTCATTACCAATACACTTCTTCAGGCCTTTATTTTACTTGCAATGATTTGTGCAAAATTCAAGCAGTCTTTTTATGAAAAAAGTTGGAATTTTTTACCTTAATATACAACCTTGATACCATACAAGCCAAATACAGACCCTCCTCCTCATGTTGCAAAATCGGATCATGCATTAGTAGAACCTACACATCTGTTGCATTAGTAGAACCAATACATCTGCTGATGGAAGTGGGTTTTAAGGTTTTTGCACCATCTTGGTGTGAGCTACAGATACATTTTGGATGCAATACTAAAATCAATGAGCTCTGAACGCACACGTATTTTTTGTTTTTTAACGTTAAACGGTGAATAGCGGCTGATTTCAGGCGGGCAGCTGCAGAGAAACCCACCTCGCCCCGGGTCGGTTGGACGTCCCGGTGTCGATGGGGACGCCGATGAACGCCGCATCGAGCCCGTCCGCCGTCTCCTGGTACGGTAACTTGGCCATGGTGGGGATCCCCGACACCCGGGCGACAAACTCGGCGCTGGGTGGCACATTGTAACGTTTCCCCGAGCGCTTCCTGTTGGGATTTACGCACAGAACCAACGCGGGACGTCGACAGAAGAAGTTGGCAGAAGTTCCTGCGTGAATAATAGCGCGAGTTGCATTGAGGTTCCGCGCAAGCGAAAGCATACTTGCTGTTAGTTATGAGCGTGACCGATGACAGGACTTCAGTTGTTGATCAATATGTTTGTTAGCTCGGAATATCCAGCACCGGCCGTGCAGGATATGGTTAATGTGCGCCATGTTGGTATTAAATATCACAATTAAATGACGATATGCGGCTGCGTTGAATGTTCCTTTCTTGGTCTTCACGTAGATGCAACACATGTCACATCACCTCAGGAGATACGTACTTTTGGCTCCTTTTCCCGGCCTCCATTCATCTGCTTGTGGTTTTAAGAATTACGAAATGAGCCTGAAGGCAGCACGAGTCCATAAATAGGCTGAAAAGTAACTGAGCTGTGTGAGCGGCAGCATGCAGAATACATGTGAACTTATGGGACTGGGAGTTGATAACTGAAACATTTGATAATTATGACATGATATATACTAAAATATAATAAAATGAAGAACCTTGTTTAGACATTTGCTTTTAACTAATTTATAGACAATGAAAACAACACTCAAGGTAATTTGGCATTGTGATACAGGAAGTGAAGGTTTTGGGGTTTTAAAGTCACAATTATAATATATGAAATCAAAATGAGTTATGACGTCAGACAGCCAAATTATAATATAATATTGAAATATAAATATAACCTCCACTCCTGGACACAACTTGTGCACACTTCCATCTGGTGGGCAACAACTGTAACAGCTGTCAGCTGTTCACTTTGACTTCTCAGCAACTGAGCAACTGAGCAAAAAATGAAATGTGCCTCTATTTGATAACTTTTCCAATAACTTTTTTATTTAACAACTTTGTTACTGCCAAACATTATCCTTTATTATAAGTTATTGCATGAATGTACATGAATTTCTCTCTCAATGTTTGAATAAGTGACATTTGAATATTGTTGTGCTTTTTTGTTCATATGATAATGCTAAATGTGGAAAAACTGCGCAGGATTTTGGAACGTGCAACATTTTACAAACGGCGCCCCATAGTTGATTCATAGAAAAAAGTCTATCAGATTTCTGATAAATTTATTGGGTTGTATATACAAGTGAAGCAGGTAATCTCCTATTTGGAAGACATTGTGCATTTTCTGATGAAACCATGAAAGTATGTTTAATACTGATATTTACAACTGATATTTAATTGGCCAGCTCATATTCGCTTAAGCAACTCCCAAAAAATCTGTCTGGCTTTTTGATCTTTACTGAGTTGTTTCTTTTTCTGAGGAACATCTTTAAAAGCCAAATGCTGCATGATTCTGAATTAGCCATTTAGCTGCTGTTACTAAAATTGGCTCTTCACATTGGTTGATGTTTTGGTAGAAATCCATGCTCAAATGAAAAAAAGGAAATGTAATATCTTGAGGTTAGTCAATGAGAAGTATCCTGCACTCTTTAAGCTAGATGGATGTTTACAAAAGTTTGAAAGGCAGAACACATTTTTCCTACATTTTAAGTAATATCAGTTAATGTTCAAATTCTGTATTGGATTAATCACTAAACAACTAAAAATAATTTTGTTTGGTTACTGTAATAAAGTATTTTTTTTTAAGTATACATTATAATCATTAAGCCGTAAATGCAGACACACCATACATTAGATTGTACAATGTAACATACATCACAAAAATGTGCTTGTAACTGTAAAACATATTTATACCACTAAAAGTCACCCGAAAAGAAATGCCTCCATAACAAGAAAGAGAAAATCAGAGCGTTTTGTCTGTGGCCGGTTTAACCTCTAGGAGTTCTAAGTCAGGAAAGTGCAGAATGGGACTTATTTATCAATCTAAAGGGCACTTTTCAAGTAATCACATGTAGAAATAGCCCATGTTAAAATAATGAGCGAAGTGGATGATATTAAATGGTAAAGTGTATTTTATTGGATAATCTGCAGGCTTTTATTGAGGATAAAAATCCCTTAATGGGAATTGAATGTTTTCAATTCAGTTCAGTTCTCCATAACAAAGCTGTGTTCAGTAACAAATAGATAATATTTTAGATCTCTCAGTACGATAAAGAAAGCTGGCAGGAGTTTGTCTTAAAGCTTTTATGCGTTATTTTACAACCATCAGTTGCTAAATGTAACAGTCCCTTTGAAATTGATACATTATTTTTCAACACATCTGGGGACGTCGGTAAGTATGTGGGGAAAAAAATATACAATCTCAGAAAAGGGACACCCACTTTAAAATTCTATTCATCCACTTTTACTAGAAAAAAAGTATTGGAGGGATGAAAGCGTGTAAGCAGAAGGCTTTATGCTACTTCAGACTATAGCTAAAATGTTTAAATTAATTTCAGTAGCACTCAGAACTAAGACTATAATTATCTGTCACAGAGCAGCAGTTCCCATTTTGATGGGTCTCTATTTGATGATCATTCATTTTAGTAAGAGATATATAGCACGTTACTTTGATACGTGTCCCTGGGCATGAAAACCCCTCACAAAATCTAAAACTGTTTGGCCGGATAATGAAACGGCTCCATACGATGAAGGGGTTCTCCTGTCCGCGGGGGGAAGTATCATGTCTCTATGTTACACCATCGAAAAATGAGATATTTTTTCGATTCTACCTATCTGGAGAAACGCTGCAAAGACCATATCATCCTTTTTAACCCAAAGCTCATCTGTCCAAAAGAGACTACGACAGACTTCCATAGTACACCAAGCTGTCTGGTCTGTAGCTGTTTGAGGCTTCATCTTATATCTTAAAGAGATGGTTGTTCATGTTGGGCTGTCTGGTCCACACCGACGTCTTTATTGATCTACAAAAGAAACAAAGAAAAAAAACAATAACGGTTATTTAAAATGAGCTTAAAGGTGCTTTACGACGTTTAACTCTATGTGAAATAAATTGCTTTATAAATGGCTTCATTACCAGATGTTCCTGGTTTGAAGAATGAACAGTTTCCTCTTCTGCTACACATCTGGATTTTCCTACCAATGAAAATATGTTTGTCAGTGGTGCCCTATGTTAAAAATAATGTACTGATATAAGTTGTTAATAGAATTGTAAAACGCAAAAGCAGATAGAGTGTAACATTAAGCAGAATATTGTAGCGATCGGAGGCGCATTGCATTATGGGACAATCTTTGGATGCATTTAAATCCCTATCTGTTATGTTCATGTTCTAGTGTTTAAGTTTATGTGTGTTCTTCTAGGTTCTGTTGTGTTGTGCTCAAATGTTACTGTTTAATGTGTAAGAGTGTGGGCACCATGACCCAACTTAGTATGGCTGTGGGTGAAGTACTGTGTTCAACGCCTTAATATTGTGTCGCTCTCCTGGGGTCTTGCGGTGTATGAAATGCAGGAAAGGCAGTGAAAGTATTCAAGTATACTGTCTCATTCATCTGGCCAAGCTCGCCACAATATGTTGTATTTAAAGTAGGAATAAACATACATTATTTAAGAACATTTTAAAAACAAATTTTCTAACTTTTAAAATGTGTCTGTTTTGGATGGACACAGAACTCACATCGCAAGGTGTCAATACCTGGATGTGGACTTTATTTACCTTCATTGTTCTTCTTTTCAGTGCGGAGGTGAACCTGGGAATACGTCACGTTGTCATCTATAAACACAAGCTTGTTAAATATTGATGGAGGGATAAATATAAATTTATGAAATGTGACATCCCCTGTTTGTTTCATGACGGCATAGTATTGTCATCATTTCTAATTTAAAAATCTAATTTAAATGACCAACAATGTAAAAAAAACAGCTGTATGAACGTATTAAACTAGAGCAGGTAGCAGCTGTTAAATACTAGGAAGCTGTGTTGCCGTTGACTGTACCTGCAGCTGATGCAATCCTAACATCCGGGTAAACGGGGCTCTCGTCTGGTTCATCGAGCTTCCCTGTCACAAAGAAGAGATGAAGGCCTTTGTTGAGAAGAACAAAATCATCTCAAAGGTGATTCTCACTATATAAAGTTATTCACCTACCCTTCTTTTTAGGCTTTTTGAACTTAACCACAGAATATGTGAGGCTGGATTCATCTGAAATTACAATTTCTTGTTTAATATTCAGGTTCTTTAGAGCCTTTGATTGTTTCATAGAGACAAGAATCACCCGTAGATCAGTGAGGATAAAGACAAGTTCATATCAATCATTTGAACCACTTTGTATGAATTATATAATCTTCCCAAACAGATAACTAGAAATGTAAATTATAGAATTAAAGTTAAGAATATATTATTAAATAAATCAGGATTAAAGCTGAGCAGAAAGAAGAGAACCGTAATGTCCGTCTTGAGTATCACCCTGGTTGATCATGTGGTCTGTAGCTGGGCTCTGATTGGTCCTCTGAGACCTTGTGGGTCAAAAACATGAAGTAAACACAGAGGATTTAATGAGGAACATGTAAAGTCCTGCTGCCATGTTCAGAGTGAGAAAAGAGAGGCTTTGACCAACCTGCTGACGTGTGAACCTGGAAGAAAATGGTTTTAATAATTAATTAATAAGTGTATTTAATAAAATATGTGACTTTGACTCATTTCATTGAAATCAGTCTAATATCAGAAGGAAAAGATCTCACCTTTTGATTTTCTGTAGCGACACAGAAACAGCAGCATGAGAATAAGTAAAACTCCAGAAATCAGACCAACAACCAACAGCACGGGAAACACAGAGCTTGATGCTGCTTCTTCAGGATCTACACACAAGCACACACCAACCATGAATAGATCAACCTGATCCCCAGAGCATGTCTTTGGACTGTGGGAGGAAGCCGGAGAACCTGGAGAGAACCCACACAGACACGGGGAGAACATGCAGACTCCACACAGAAAGACCACTGGGCGGAGTTGAACCCAGGACCTTCTTGCTGTGAGGCGACAGTGCTAACCACCACGCCACCGTGCCGCCCTAATAATAATAATAATACATTTTATTTATAACGCACTCCTCATCAACAGAACTCAGAGTTCCACAGAGCCAGATAAACATACTTAAAACAAAATAAAAGATAGTAAAAACATTGATACTAATGTCTTGTAGTACTAAAGTAGTACAACACATACACTCAAATACACAAACATGAACCCTTTATCACATCATTCACCTTTCACTGCTTGTCATGTTATATTTCTAATATTATGTCTTTTCACTGAACATAAACCTTTTTAAAACTATATTGACTCACAAACAAGACGTTTATTTCAAGATAACTTCTAATTCAGTGAAACATTTTCTAACTCAGACTGTAACACGTGTTACAAAACTCGTACTCACATTTCACTGACAACCAGCTCGCTGCTGAGGTCACATTCTCCAAACCTTGAGGTGATTTACTTCCACTACATTTATAAAAACCTTCATCTGACTCTTTGACTGCAGAGATAAGCAGATCCCCTTTGGTATGATTTGAGATGAGTTTGTCATTTTTATAAAATTCCACATTATAAAGAACATCTTCTGTCCTCAACTTGCAGCCAAGAGTGACCGAATGTCCTTCAGTCACAGGACGGACAGGACTCACCAGGATGACATCACCACCTGTAAAGAGACCAGAGGACAGGACGTCAAACAATGACGAGAAGACATTTAAAGTTTACATTTGTTATTCACATTCATACAGCAGCTGAGCGAATAGCTGCATTTTATGGATGGAAGAGACGGCCCTTTGGTGACGTTCATGCTCACAGTTACATCTTGCTGTTACATTAATGCTCAATATGTCGGGAGACAAATGTCCACTTAGTGGCAGTGAGCTACAGAATGATCTGAAAGGTAAAAACTGGAGCCAGATAACTCTACAGCTCCTCCTGGATTGTAGTAAATGGTGGATGTCAATGGTCATAAAGAGGAAAGTAAACCAGAAGACTTGTTGGACAATACAGAGAAATGATACTGCAACAAACTAAGATTGTTGAATCGTTAAAATACATATTGAGTTAAACTCATCATGAAGTCACCTTAAAACTGTCAGCACTCTATAATAAGATGTGTAAATACTGGATATAAAACCCTTTAAATGGATAGAAACTCACTGTGTATGGTGATGTTGACTGCATTGCTGAACTGTGTTTCAGACTCACACCAGTACACTCCACTCATCGCTGCAGTGTCGGTGTTGCATGTGGATCCAGTCATTTTCCACATGTCAGAACAGGATAACGCAATGTAATTCTTATTAGCCCACATCACTCTCCACTCAGTAGAGGTTCCCTCACAGCTCAGTGTCAGTGACTCTGTGCTGAAGTGCTGCAGTCTGTGAGGACTCACTGTGAGAGACGCTGCTGGATTCACATCTGAAGACACATCATTAGGAGACACACAGGACAAACAATGTCAACACAAAAAGGACATTTATTCACTTGTGCAAGAATATAAAAGTCTGAACAAACTCACCTCCAGACCAGACAAACATCAGACGACTATACGAAGTGTAAAACACAGGATCTCCTCTTCCAGCTCTGCACGCATATCCTGCTGTGTGTGTCTGTCCATGAAGAATGTAGGAATCCTGTTCAGTCCCAGTGGTGTTACCAGGTAGAAGCTCATAGGTGTAGGAGGTGAATGGCAGTTCTGGAACAGCCTGATACCAGAAGAACCTCCATCCTGCAGACGGAGGTTCAACACTGCAGGTCAGAGTCACTGAGCCTCCAGGACTCGTCCATGATGGAGACACTGTGAGGTTGGGCCGATGAACATCTGTTTGAAAGAGGTTTCACCGAATAAAGACGTGTTATGATGAGTCCTTGGTGGATTACTTTCACTGCTGATGTCCTCCATCTTCTTATCTGTCTTCAACTGTGTTAAACAGGTGTTTGGGTACATTGTCTTTAAACATAATCGTACATTTCAATTATTCTATTTTAGTTTCTTTGTTGTTAAAAATGCACTTGTAAGAGCTCCCATCAGACATCAGAGAAACGATCATTTTATGTGTGTTTTGTGTCCATTTCAATAAGTGTTTTGTCTTTGTAGAAGTCAGCATTCTTCTCTTTTCTCTGGTCTCAATGTCGACAGTAAAGAGTCACTGATTCTCCTTCATACAAGGAGGACGCAGTAGTTAAAGGATCACGTCTTTGTGTAAGTTACTTCTTTGCTTTACTAAATCAGTCAATAAGTCTCCCTTTAATAAATAATAAAAGGTTCACAAAGTAATGAGTACATTTCACCTGAAGGAGGCGCCACACTCTGCTGATGTTTTTTATACATTTGTGTTATCAATAATTAATCAATAACTAATTCATTATTTGTAAATAAGGATACACTATGGGATGGTTTGTTAATATTATTTGAAAATTGATCCTTATAAACAAAGTTCAGCTAATTAAACGGCATCAGTGTCAATTTTCTCTTATATTACAGGCCATTTAGCTGACGTTTTTATCCAAAGCGACTTTTTCATTTATAACCCATTTTTACATTTTTGTCTGGGGAGCAGTTAGGGGTTGGGTGTCTTGCTCAGGGACACTGCCGGGGCTTCAACCGCCAACCTTGCCTTGCGGTTCCCAGTGCACCCTCTCTACCCCTGCGCCGTGTAGACCCCCTCTTACACTAGTTACATGTATTAATGATAACTACATTATATTACATTAGCACTTCATCAGGCAGGTTTATTAAATCAACATGTCGTTTAATGAAGTCGTTGTGATTTTAAAACTTTGATCTCTTACCTGATAGATTTAGAGAGACTTTATTACTTTCTCTTGTAACGAAGGGAGTGATCTTGTGATGAGCGACACACTGATATTCCTCTTCTTTAGATAGAGGTGGTGATGTGTATTTAGTTGGTCTCTCTGTGGTAAATGCATAACCATTCCTCCTGAATGAGTAAGACCAGTCAGTGTCCTTTCCGTCCCTTGGGTCACATATGAAGGTAACAGTCTCTCCAGTAAATAACGGGGACCAGTTTGTCTCAACATGCAGCAACGCATCTAGAAACAAACGCAACATGCAAAGAATTTATCTTGTCTTGTCTTCTTTCATCATGACTTAACTAAAGAGGACAGAAATATTAAATGTAAAATAGAGATAGCAGGTGTTGAATCGTCTTGAGGGAATATATCAAAAGAAAGAAAGTTGTATAAAAACCTTGAGCGTGTCCACAGTAGAGAATATTCAGCACTAAAATAAAGTGAGAAACATCATTATGCATCATCAAACTGACAGAAACTATTAACTACTGGCATTTAAAAAGTTGTATCTATGAAAACTATGATTTACTCACAGAAAAGCCCAAACACACCAAACAAAGTGGGTCCCATCCTCACGTCCACTTCTGAGATACGCTTCGTGTCAATAGACCGTTTGAAACATGCAGAGAAATGTGGAAAAAGAGAGAATACAGATGAATATCAGATTTATTTTCTGCTTCTGCTGATGAGGGGCATTTTAGGATGCTCTTCAGCACAACTGAACTGTAGCCTAAGACACATACCCTTTTTTCTCTTTATGTTTTGCAATAAAAAAATAGGGGCGGCACGGTGATGTGGTGGTTAGCACTGTCGCCTCACAGTAAGAAGGTCCCGGATTTGACTCCACCCAGTGGAGTCTGCATATTCTGCCCATGTCTGTGTGGGTTCTCTGGCTTCCTCCCACAGTCCAAAGACATGCACTGGGGATCAGGTTGATTGGAGACTCTAATTGGCCCGTAGGTGTGTGAATGTGAATGTGAGTGTGAATGGTCGTTTGGCTCTGTGTAGCTGTGGCGACCAGTCCAGGGTCTACCCCTGTCTCTCTCGCCTGAAGTTGGCAGAGGTAGTCTCCAGCCCCCCTGCGTAGCAAAACCTTTAAAACACATATCAAAAGGCCACCTTATTTGCATAAGACAAATTGGAGAAAATGAGATGAGAATTTCCACCAACTCTTTATTTCCTCATCTGCAACAGCATGTTGAGAGTTTTACT